ACGTTACACCTGATCCTTCAATCTAATTGGCTATAATCACGTGTCGGAAAAAATTTTGTGGGTGAGCTACAGAGGTTGCTTTAGACGGCCTCCTTTTTTAGACCTTCAAATGATAGAAAATATGATGCGATTTTTGCAGCATACTTTACTAAGCCATGCACCACTGCTATTCGTAATACCGTTTCATTGCATGCATTGTTGTACTTCTCACGCACATTTCATGCATAATATCCGTTTTTGTTTATTTAATGCAGAAAATCAGAATATTGATGTAAGAGAATCATTTCCTAATATATTTAGATTTAAATAAAACCGGTTTAAAATACGTAAACCTAGCATTAAAGTTTCGATAAATGCTGAAACATGTTATTCTTAATCGTAAATTCTGTACCATGTTATCGTTATAAATCTTGCATTTTGCGGTTTCAGTGATAAACTAATGTTAGAATATAAAATGAAGCTTCAAAATTGAATTTCTCTTTAATTGAATTTCTCTTTAATTGAATTTCTCTTTAATTGAATTTCTCTTTAATTGAATTTCTCTTAATTGAAATAAAAAAAGAAGAATCAAAATGTCTTTTTTGGTCTTAGCATTCGCAATTATTCTATTCATAATTTACAAGTCTTTAAGCACTAGGACCCCGGATGGTCTTAGAGATGTTCCCACTATCTCTTCTTTACGCTTATTAAAATTGGCTATTGAAAAAAAAGGTGGAACAGACAACATGTATTCATATCATAAAGAATATTTTGAGAGAGATGGTGTTGTAAAAGTAAGCTTTATTAGGTCACGCAAAGTTAATTTTTCGTTTTGCATAACCCACCGACCCATTTTTTCGATTTTATTTTATTTTTTTTTTTTAAAAAAAAAGTCCCAATCGTGCCAATTATTCTTTTTGCTATTTAATTTTTTTATCAATTTTATTCGATGTCACCCAACAGAGACATTGATATCCCGAAATTCCCTGACAGGACCGATAAAAAAAAACCCCAGCGCTGACCCAATTTTCTGATTCCATGCTATGCAAGTCGAAAAATTACTTTGTATGCCTTATATATGAATATGTGTCTATTAATTTACAATATATTAGAAAAAAAAATCCGACCGACCGACCTAATGTTTCTGATTCCATGTTATACAAAACGAAAAATTAACTTTGCGTGGCCTTATATATATATATAAAATTTAAAATTTTTTCTGATCAAATAATTTATTGCATTATAGCTTCGAGCAAAAGGAAAATGGATTTGTTTAATATCAGACCCAATAGTCGTAAAAAATATTTTATTACGACCAGGTAGGTAATAATTCAGTAGCCAGTACTATTTATCATTTCCAATTTCTAATTTGATCAACGTTTAAATTGGTCGTAGATACTTTTCCAAAATTAGATCTTAAAGAATTTTCACCTATATTTTCACGACATCTTGGTGCCAATGTTGTTCACTCAAATGGTGATGTAAGTGCAATATTATTCTTTTTATAATTTACCAATCTTTTCCAATGTCTAATTTTGATTATTTTCCTAGGTCTGGAAAAGATATAGGTACGCATATTCCCATATTTACAAATGTGTTTAGTTCTACTTAAAACTGCTAATCGGGGTGACTTTATTTAGGCGTGTTTGTAATCCTGCATTTAAGACTTTACCCATACATCTTTTTAATGAAACTGGATTAAGGTTACTGAATGTTTTAGAGCGGATCGATAATAAACCTATTGAAGTTACAAGTCTTATGCAAAGGTAATAAATATTGATTCAATAATTATATGTGTATATTGATTCAATCATTATACGTGTATATTGATGAAATTTCATTCACCAAATATTCTAAACAAAATTTTACAGGTTTACTTTAGATGCTCTTGGAAAAACTGCCTTTGATTTTGATTTTAATGTGAATCTTGTTTTTTATTTATTTAGCATTTAATTATATTTAATTTAATATTCTAACAATTCTAGCTATATATTTAATTAGAATCTTGAAAATCCTAATAATATTTATGTAACAACTTATAACGAAGTTTACCAAGGATTAATTCGTAATTCATGGATTAACATTCTCCCAATGGAACGTATACCTTTTTGGTTAAATCGAGCTTTTAAAAAAATTGATAAATTGGATAATTTACTTGATGAAATTATTAAAAAAAAACGTAAATCTATTGCTGCTGGAAAATCTAATGGTGATCTTTTGGAGCTTATGATAAAAGCTTGTGAAGATCCAAATAATCCGACTTTGTCAGATATCGAATTAAGAGTATATTAAATTTATTATTATTAATTAATTAATGAAAAATTGCTGAATTCAAAATTAATTAGGAAATTTCTTATTTTTATTCTCAATAGTACAACTTGGCAATTTTTATGTTTGCGGGTCATGAAACAAGTAATTATCATTTACATTCAGTATATTCAGTATTTAAACAAATTGTGGAATTTTAATTATATTTACATTCGAATACTGTAATATGCAATTTTAGCCTCGGATGCTTTGTCAACCCTTTTGTATATTTTGGCAGTTCATAAAGTGAGGTTTTATTAATTACTTTGTAATTCATTGAATAATCATGAGTTTTTAATGTCCTTATCTATATTTATTTATATAGGATATTCAACAAAAAGCTAGAGAGGAAGTTACAAAAATTATTGGTGATTCTTTAACTCCGTCAGCTGAACAACTGAAATCATTAAAATATTTAAATATGGTCATTTATGAAAACCTTAGAATGTATCCTTCGGTAAGTATATGCGATTAGTATTACGCAATTTGCTTTTAAATATTTTATAACTTTATTCATTTTTGTCGGTTAATATAAATAAATAGGTTACAATCTTTTCATTACGTAAATTAACTGAAGATTTAAAATGTAAAAATCACGTGATTCCAACTGGTACAACTATCGGGATATATTCTTACGGAATACATCATTCACCAAAGCTTTGGGAAAATCCAGAAAAATTTATACCAGAAAGGTTTGAAAATGAACATCTAGAGAAGTTAGAATTTTATGGTTTTGGTGCTGGTTCTAGAATGTTAGTTACTGATATATTATTTTCTTTTAATTGTTTTTTTTTTTTTTTACCTTAAAGATAATAATATATAATTTTTCTTAAATTAACAGGTGTTTGGGAAATAACTTTTCTCTTTTTGAACAAAGAATCGTAATATGTTTTTTGTGTAAGTATTTTCATTAATAATTGTTACCATATATTTTACATTTTGATTTATTTATGAAAATTATGACTTTTTTTAGTACGTAAATATGAAATATCATTGGCTCCTAATAGCATACACAAAGACGGATTAAAAACTAAGAGAATGACACAAGCATTCCCAATTGACCTTGTGTTTAAACGGAGAAATGAATAATACAATTCATCGTGTTTAATAAATATATTTCAATAAATTCTTTTTTCTCTGATGTGAATAGTTAATTATTATATATATCTTCAATAAATCAATTTTCTTCAAAAAAAAAAAAATAATGACTATAAAAACGTTAACTTATTATATTCATGGTATTTTCTCAAAAAAAGAATTAAGTGAATATTAAAATATATCAATATCAATATAATGAACAAATACCCTTACACCAAATCTACCTGATGCTTAAAACAGTTATAACGGATTCAATAGTAAAAAAGGCCATATTAATCCAAATTTAACGTCTTGGTTTTAATAACATGCGACTTTTAGATAGAGCCAGCCGGTTTCTTTTTTAAAAAAATTTCATATATAAAAATTTTGCCTGGTTATTAAAACCTATAATATATATATATCAAAACTTTGACTCGGTCGGGTATGAAAACCAGTTAATCGGCATTTTATGTATAATAGATATTTGCTGCTAGCCCAACTGAAAATAAGCTACCCATAAAAATCGCAAATGTTGTACATTGTTGGGTTCGGAAGATTGCGACTCGGTCGCTCCACAATCCAAAATCTCGTGTAACGTACGATAGATAACCTTTTCGAAAGAGGGTGTTATATTTGGCTGGTGGGTGATTAAGGCTTTCGGTTACTTTGGGTCAACGAATACAAGTAATCTTCCCCAGTATCGCCGTCAAAATTTTCACTTTCACGTGACCACGTTTAAAAATCTTTAATTCGTTTAAGTTAGGGTTAGCGTTTATAATAGGGCTAGGTTTTAAGAAGATAATAGTAAAATTACTCGAGGAATTTTTTTTGTTAGAGCTCAAAAGGTGGTTTTTTATGCAAGTTTTTGAGGAATAAGCGATTTTTGAAAAGCGAACGTTTTGTTTTGATCTTCCTGATCGTGTAACGTTACATTAAAACGAAACACACTATTGGATGATCATCATGTGAAAGTGAAAATTTGACGGCGATCCTGGGGTAGTTATACAAGTAGGGTAAGTCACGTGAACAAGAACTTGAACGAACAGCGATGTTATAGGGGTTTACAGGGTTGATAACGGTAATAGTGTTAGTGTTTATTAGGGACGATATAAGGTATTTGGGGCTTATTATTTAATAAAGCAAGAAGAGCACTGTCGCTCTCAAGGGCCATTTCGGCCTTTATTTATAATCCTAAATTCGTCGCTTACAAATGCGACTTTGCCCTTATTATTACTTTAAGGCTACTAAATGTTATTTACTATGATTTATGTAATATCTTTAAGGATGTGTAATTTGTCTTCCCATCCTCCCTTCCGGATCCGAAATACCATTTCCGATCACAAATGTAACTTATTGCATTTCGTGTATTTTTCACGTGATCGGTCATGATATCCGGTATCACAACATATAAAAGTCAAAAAATTTTACTATATAAACCACCTTTGAGCTCTTAAGTTGATCAGAACCTCAAAATAAAAAAGTTTCATGCAATTTGGATACATAACTTTCACTACGTAACTATTTTAATTTTTTTAAAAACTATAAGAAGCTACGTACTCGTAAAATTTTCGTGTAATTGTTCTACCAAAAATAGCTTATTTTTCGGAAACATACCGTACTGTATAACACATATAGCGAATTTAATATAGTAAATCGGCTGACGACTACTCAAAGAGCATTTCCCTTTACTATAATACCTATTCAAAATTCTGACCTAAAATAGGTAGGTATAACGAATATGTTGTATTACGGAACTTTAAGGTATTTTAGATTCTCATTGTATCGATTGTTGATAGTATATAAAGAAAACGGAGCTTTTATCTGATTTCACAACTATTATACATTTAAAAATAAACTGGATGAATTCATTATATCTTAAATATATAGACGTATTAACACACTCTTTTTAATAAAGTTAGATATTGCTTTAAATAAGTATATAGTATTTCAAGTTCTAATACAATAATATTGTGTATGAAATGTGTAAGCGTAAATATGGGGTGTAGGTTTAATGTATCGTAGTACAGAAAGAGTACAACTTTTTTGTGATCGCGCTACATAATAGAGTGCAGTTTAATAATATTATGATCACAAATAGCTTCTTTAATTTTTGTGAGAGCGCTACCTAATGAATTGTAATTTAATAACATTATGACTCATAAAAAATGACTTGTTTAAAAATGAATTGTTTAAAAATGACTTGTCTAAAAATCCTTTTACCAACTTTCTTTAGAAATACATTTTATTTAATCTAATAAATCTATCTATGATTAAATTCTTTAATGTTTTTAAACTTAAATCACATTCGAAGAGAAATTTCTTAAAGACGAAATAGGAAATAGTCTTGTAACATATTACAAAAATGGTACAGGTACCATTAGAGACGAGAAAAGTATTCGAATGGTATTTAAAATCTGCTAAAAGTGGTAATCCTCAAGGACAATGTAATCTTGGAATTTATTATGAAAATGGTATGGGCACTATTAAAGATGAAAAGAAAGCATTTGAATGTTATTCAAATTCTGCTGAAGGTGGTGATCCACGAGGACAATGTTATCTTGGTTATTGTTATGAAAATGGTATAGGTACTATTAAAGATGAAAAGAAAGCATTTGTATGGTATTTAAAATCAGCTGAAGGTGGTAATTCACGAGGACAATGTAATATTGGTGATTGTTATAAAAATGGTATAGGTACCACTAAGAGTGAAAAGGAAGCATTTGAATGGTATTCAAGATCTGCTAAAGGTGGTGATTCCCGAGGACAATGTAATTTAGGTTTCTGCTATGGAAATGGTGTAGGAACTGCTAAAGATGAAAAGAAAGCATTTGATTGGTATTTAAAATCTACTGAAGGTGGCAATTCACAAGGACAATGTAATCTTGGATACTTTTATGAAAATGGTATAGGCACTGCTAAAAATGAAAAGAAAGCATTTGAATGGTATCTAAAATCTGCTGAAGGTGAAAATTCTCAAGGACAGTGTAACCTTGGATTCTGCTACAGACATGGTATAGGTTCTGCTAAAGATGAAAAGAAAGCATTTGAGTGGTATTTGAAGTCTGCTAAAGGTGGAAATCCACAAGGACAATGTAATATTGGATACTGTTACGAAAGTGGCATAGGCATCACTAAGGATGAAAAGAAAGCATTCGAATGGTATATAAAATCTGCTGAAAGTGGTAATTCACAAGGGCAATGTAATCTTGGTGATTGTTATATAACTGGTATAGGCACTGCTAAAGATGAAAAGAAAGCATTTGAATGGTATTTAAAATCTGCTGAAGGTGGCAATTCACAAGGACAATGTAATCTTGGATTCTGCTATAGACATGGTATAGGCGCTGCTAAAGATGAAAAGAATGCATTTGAATGGTATTTGGAGTCTGCTAAAGGTGGCAATTCACAAGGGCAATGTAATATTGGGTACTGTTATGAAAATAGCATAGGCACCGCTAAGGACGAAAAAATTGCATTTAAATGGTATTTAAAATCTGCTGAAGGTGGCAACTCACAAGGACAATGTAATCTTGGATACTTTTATGAAAATGGCATAGGTGCTGTTAAGGATGAAAAGAAAGCATTTGAATGGTATTTGAAATCTGCTAAAGGTGGTAATTCTAGCGCACAATATAATCTTGGATTATTTTACGCTGATAAAAACGATGGAAAAATGGCATTTGAATGGTTTTTAAAATCGGCTGAAAACGATAATCCTGATGGCCAATTTAGAACTGGTCTATGCTATCGGAATGGTATTGGTGTGTCAACTAATCAGGAGAAAGCAGCTGAATGGCTACAAAAAGCTAAAAATAATAAAAATAAAGTTGCGATTTTTGAAAATCATGATACTACCGATTTTTTAAAAACATTTCTTGAAAATAATTTATCAATTTCATGGATTCCATTCAATGAATTAAAATTCATAGAGAAAATTGGGAAAGGAGGATTCGCAACTGTATATTCCGCAAAATGGATGCACACAGTTTCCACAGTTTCACGTTATACTCAACACGACATCGTTGCACTTAAATTATATCATGGACCAAAAGACAGTTATAAAAAGCTTTTAAAGGAGGTAAATATTATCATACCTTGATATTTTGACATTTTAATTCTTTTATAATACTGTAATAACAGTATTTAATATAATTCTTAGTTAAAAGCGTATTCTAACATTGGAACTAAGAGCCCCACATTTTTACAATGTTATGGTGTGTCTAAAGATGAAGCTACGGGTAATTATATATTAGTGATGCAATACGCGAAAATGGGTTCATTACGTCAGAATCTTTACACAGTTGCGCAGATGGAATGGGAAAAGAAGTTAACATTATTATCTTACATCGCACTTGATCTTCGATTGATTCATTCGCATGATATAATACATTGTGATTTACATAGTGCTAATATATTTCAAGATGATTTAAGCAATGCCTATATTGGTGACTTAGGATTTGCTATATCTGTAAATAAAACATTAGACAAAGAATCAGGTGGAATTTATGGTGCTTTACCATATTTAGCACCCGAAGTTTTGCAAGGAAAACCATTTACAAAAGCATCTGATATTTATTCCCTTGGAATGGTTATGTGGGAGATTTCTTCGGGAAATGTTGTATTTGCTGACTATAAAGATGATAATTTAAGATTGGTATTAGAAATTTGTGAAGGGTTAAGACCAACTATTATTAAAGGCACAACATCATGTTACGTAAATCTTTTAAAAAAGTGTTGGGATAAAGATCCAGAAAAACGACCAACAGCATTAGAAATTTATAGTACTATTATGAACTGGAAAAATGATACTGAAATTTTGTTGGAATTTTTAGAGTCAGATAAAGAAATGGTACTAGAAAATATTGTTCCTGATATTGTTATTAATGATAATTCTATTTACAATAGTAAGTTTGTTCGTTCTATTAATTTACAAAAAATTTCTGACAATAATATTTGCATCGATAAAGTTAATTGTGATTAATTGTGATGTAGATCTATAAAAATAATTTTCGAGGCTGAAGCTGGAAACTTTGAATATTTACTATGAAATTTTCAAAATTTCTGAGGTGCAATTTTTTAGTTTTTTTTATTATTATTATTAATAGTCAGGTTAGGAAAAGAGTATAAATGGATTTTAGGAGTTTATAGTTTCAAATCGAGATTCTTAATTTCCAGCCTCATCCGCGACAATTACTAAAGATATTATAAAATAATATTAAAAGTTTTTCTATTTTAAGTACGTGGTAACAAGATGGAGTGAATCTTATGAGGCTTTTCCAGAATAAATGATTTTTACTACCGCTAAACTAAATTTATCATTATTTTTTGTTAATACCGTTTCTTATTGTAATATAAGTCACACGAAAATATGTTCTAATAAAAGTAAGCGAGTCTATTCCCAAGATTGAATATACGCTTAGATTATTGTTATTAGGCGAACCCTAAAGGTTTTGATATTGGCAAAATCAAAAACTGGTTTCCACTTTTGTCATCTAAAATTCCAATAAAAATAAAATTGAAAGATAGGTTCAAGTTTTGCGTACCTTTAACTTATTGTAGCTGATTATTTTTTTTTAATCATTCAAATTAATTTAATTATTATTTTTTTCTGTTATATGTTGTTAATAATAAGCGACTTGGATATATAATGGTTTTTTTATACAGTCAATTCTGGATATAGCGAACCTTTATATAACGAACTCTGAACATAACGAACTAAAAATTTCTAAAATTTTTATAGTTCGGTATAGAAAGTGTAATAGGTCCATAAGAAAAGATTAATTTATATAGCGAACATTTTTTTTCTAAAACCGTCAGTTCGTTATAGAAGGAGTTGACTATATACGGTAATAATATATATTTCTACAATACACAATATATGTAGAAAAATTTCCCTTCTAAGTCTCTATGTTGTGGATCATTTGCATAGCAACTGTTACACGGCGTTTTATTTAAGATAAAGACGTCCTTAATTTTATATTTCACTTGTGAAATGTTGCATTCGTAAAAAAATACTCTAAACTGTATAAAGTATAAATACAGTATAAAAATTAGCTTATGCATTATTTCATTTCGAATCTACCTATCAATATACATATGTATGTTTGATTTATTAGACAACTAAAGAACAGTAAGAAAGGTATATTTATTTTGATATTATATAATTAAATACTATTTAGTTAAGTACAATCCATGTTAAATTTTTAAAAAATAAATTATTTTAATAGGGTATATTAGAAATCAAATTTAGAATAATTCTTCCATATACGTAAATAAAAGTCTAGTTGTCAAAGTATCAACTTATATATACTATGTAATAATATATAAAGACAGAAACTAAATATGTAATGCTCGAATCAGACATACGAATATGCACATAAACACTATGTCCCTGGTAATCATTCTAATAAAGAATAAACTTTTAAAATTTTACTAATATCTTATTCAAAATTTAATGTAAACATTTTCGTTTGACCCTATTATAATTTCAAAATGAATAAACATTTTGATCCTTAGTTAGTATATGCGGTTTATTATCAACAGAAAATTAACTTAATTTATAGTTACCTATAACTTGGTCTAAACTCTGAGACACGTATTTGGCATCTTGATGTTGTAAATTAATTGATGATTTATTTATAATTTTATCTGCTTCTAAAAACGCATCTTTAATTTCAACTTGTCCTTCATTTAACTCTTCTGGGTTCTTATCCAGAACAATTTCCCATTCCTGCAATTTTTCATAAATTTCAGCAGCTGTTGGTCGTTTTTCTGGACTCTTATCCATACATTGATTCGCAAGCTTTATATAACAATTAGGTGTTCCCAAAGCAAAATCGGGTCGCAATCCGTTAATAATTTTCTCCTTTAAAATTTTATTGTGTGGTCTATTTTTAAAGGGGGGCTGGCCGGTTGACATTTCTGACATAATTACACCAAAACTATAAATATCTGAGGCTTTCGTGTATGGATACTTTAATAATACTTCAGGTGCTAAATATGATATTATGCCATACTCAATTGCATTGTGTTCATTTACTTTTCTGGACAATCCTAAATCAGATATTTTTGGTTCTATACTTAATTTGCCTCCAAAATTCTCTGGAAGCACTATTATTCCATCACCAACATTAAAAAAACGAGGTATAAAATCATCAATGCTAAACATGAGTATATTTCCACTGTGAAAATCTCTATGAATATAATTTTGGTGAATATAGTCTAAATTATCTGATATGGAACAAAGATACTTTATTTTTTGTTTCCAGACAAGGGATTTAAAATTTTTTTTAAGATAATTTCGAAGGTCTTCCTTATCTGCATATTCAATAACCATCATATATTGATTTTCGTTTGGGTTATATGTTATTCCATATGTTTCTATTCCATATTTTTCTACACTATATTATTCAAGTTGGCATTCATAATATGCTTTAAACTAAAAATAAAATGGTCAAAACAAAATAAAATAAACAGAAATAATTAATATTTCGTCTTACCTCTTCCATAAAATCCAATAAAATATTTTGTGTTCCAATTAAACTTTTGAGTGCAACCTTGCAACGTGACTCACGTGACGCTATTGGTTGACCACCTACGTTGAATTTATAGGTTCGCCTACCATCAATCCAAGTTGCAGAATAAACGGTGCCAAAACCACCTTTACCAATTTCTTGAATATTTTCCATCCTTTCGAAAGGTATCCATTCGATTATTTTATTATGAAGTTTGGAATTTGTTTGTGATTGCTTAATAAACTTATTAATGTCATTATATCCACTAGTCAACTCTTGATTTATTTGGGTGTCACACGAGTGGCAAAATTGAAAGCCAGTATTAGACTTTTTACATTTTGGACATATTCCAGTTATTTTATAAGTTACTTTAATTCTCGATTTAATTCCTAAAGATTTATTTAAGTTTACGAGCGATTCTTTATATCTACTCATATAGTGATAAGTTAACCCACGATAATATAATGCAGTTGCATTATCTGGATTAATTTCCAGTGTTTTATTTAAATCCAAAAGGGACTCTTCATATCTACCCATATTTTGATAGATTATTCCGCGAATACATAATGTTTCCTCTTTTTGTTCGATTTTTAATGATTTGTCTAAATCTAAAAGTGATCGTTCAAATTTGAACATTATCCCATAAATTAACCCACGATCATTTAGTGCCGTTACATTATTCGGCTCTATTTTTAATAACTTATTTAAATCTATAAGTGACTCATCATATCTGCCCATTGATTGGTAAGTAAAACCACGTTTATATAATATTTTCACATCGTTTGGGTTAATTTCTAGTGATTTATTGAAATCCATGAGTGATTCTTCATACCTTTCCATTTCTTGATAAACTGTTCCACGTTATTCAATGCATTCACATTGTTTGGTTCTTCTTCTAACAACTTATTTAAATCGGTTAATGATTCTTCATATCTAGCCATCTCTTGATAGGTTATTCCACGATTACTCAATAGCTTTGTATCATTTGGTCTGATTTCTAATGCTTTACTTAAGTCTTCAAGTGATTCCTCATATCTACCTAATATTCGATAAGCGTATCCACGGCTACTTAGTACATCTACATAATTTGGTCCGATTTCTAATGCTCTACTTAAATCTGCTAATGATTCTTCAGGCTTACCCATCATTATATATGTTAATCCGCGATTATTTAATGCGATCGCATTATTTGTTTCTATTTCTAATGCCTTATTTAAATCATCAAGTGACTCTTCATATCTATCCATCATTTGATAGATTGTTCCACGATAAATCAATTTAGTTACATTATTTGGCTCGATTTCTAATAACTTATTTAAATCTGCTAATGATTCTTCATATCTACTCATATTTTTATATATTAACATGCGATTATCTAATGCCGCTATATAATTTGGTTCTATTTCTCATGCCTTATTAAAATTTTCAAGTGACTCTTCATATTGATTTAACATTCGATAAATTTTGCCACGATCATAAAGTGCCATTGCATTATTTGGTTCGATTTCTAATGACTTGTTTAAATCAGTAAGTGACTCTTTATATCTGCCCATCTTATAATATGTCGATCCGCGATTATTTAATGCTGCTGTACAATTTGGTTTGATTTTTAGTGCTTTATTTAAATCTTCAAGTGACTCTTCATATTTATTTAACATATAATAGACTGCTCCACGATTAATTAATCCCTTTACATCATTTGGATCGATTTCTAATGCCTGATTTAAATTTTCAAGTGACTCTTCAAATCTACTTAAGATTAGATAAATGCACCCACGATTAATTAATCCCGTTACATCATTTGGATCGATTTCTAATGCCTTATTTAAATCAGGTGATTTATTATATCCACATAACATTAGTTGAATATTTCCATGTTTATTTAGTACTACCATATCATTTGGTTTTACCTCTAACCTTCTATTTAAATCTTTACGAGTATTTAGTTCCGTTGTATCATTTAGTTTAATTTCTAGTGATTTGTTTAAAATTGAAAGTAAATCTTCAAATGATATATCTATATTACTTTCTAATGGTTCCTTAGGTAACACTTCACTTCTATCCATTAGATAATCAATCATCAAATCTGTGTTCAATTTCTCGTTACTTTTGTAGCTACTACCACCAATATCCAGTCGTTCATTTGGTCCAATCTCCAGTGATTTTTTGGAAGTCCCGAGCATTTCATCATCCATCTTCTGATAAGCCAATCCATTATTACTCGATGCTTCCAAATTATTCCATACTCCAGAATTATTTGATTCGCTTTCTAGTGTTTTTTCATAATCGTCTACTTGTTGATAAGTTAGCCCATGTTTATTTAATGCCATCACATTGTTTAAGTCTGAATCATCACTATTATCGCCACTACTCATCTGATTATTCGATTCTATTATATTGTCGAATGACTTGCATGAATCCGCAATTGATTCAACCATTTGACAAGTACTTCTATTATTTTGATTGATTTCTGATGATTTACTTAAGTCAGAAAATGACTCTTCATATCTGCCCATTTTTTTATAGGTTAATCCACGGTTATTTAATGCTGCTGTATAGTTTGGTCTAATCTCTAATGCCTTATTCAAGTCTTTAAGTGACTCTTCATATTTGCCTATTTTTTGATATGTTAACCCACGACTACTTAATAATATCGCATTATTCGTTTCTATTTCTAATCCCTTATTTAGATCTTCAAGTGACTCTTTATATCTACCTATTTCTTGATAAACTATCCCACGATTATTCAATGCATCCACATTATTCGGCTCTATTTCTAATGACCTATTTAAATCTGCAAATGATTCTTCGTATCTATTCATCTCTCGATAAGTTATTCCACGATTAATCAATCCAGTTACATTATTTGGTTCAATTTCTAATAATTTGCCTAAATCTACTGATGATTCTTTATACAGACCCATCTCTCGATAAGTTACTCCACGATTATTTAATGTGATTACATTATTTGGTTCTATTTCTAATGACTTACTTAAATCTTCAATCGCCTCTTTATATTTATTTAATAACCGATAAATACTTCCGCGATTATTTAATATCGTTGCATCGTTTGGTTCGATTTCTAGTGACTTACTTAAATCTTCGAGTGACTCTTCATATCTACTTAGCATTTGGTAAATGCTTCCGCGATTATTTAGCACAGCTGCATTATTTGGATCTATTTCTAATAGCATACTTAAATCTTCAAGTGATTTGTCACATCTACCCATCTTTTGATAAACTAATCCACGGGTATTTAATGCGATTACATATCTACTAAAGATTCGATAAATATCTTCACTATTATTCAACATATCCACACTTGGTTCAATTTCTAAAACCTTATTTAAGTCCGCAAGCGACTCTTCATATCTACCTAATATTCGATAAATATCTCCACGAATATTTAATGCATCCATAGAACTTGGTTCTATTTCTATTGCCTTATTTAAATCTTCAAGAGACTCTTCATATCTATCTAACATTCGATAAATGTCTCCACGATTATTTAATGCATCCACATCATTTGGTTCTATTTCCAATGCTTTATTCATATCTGCAAGCGACTCTTCATATCTACCTAATATTCGATAAATGGATCCACGAACATTTAATGTATCCACAGAATTTGGTTCTATTTCTAATACCTTATCTAAATTTTCAAGTGACTCTTCATATCTACCCAATATTCGGTAAATGTCTCCACGATTGCTCAATGCATCCACATTGTTCGGCACCACTTCTAATGACTTATTTAAATCTGCTAGTGATTCTTCATATCTGCCCATCATTTGATAAGTTAATCCACGAATATTTAAGGCATCTACAGAATGTGGTTCGGTTCCTAACACTTTATTCAAATCCGTAAGTGACTCTTCATATCTACCTAATATTCGATAAATGTCTCCACGGACATTTAATATATCCACAGAATTTGGTTCGATTTCTAATGCTTTATTTAAATCTTCAAGTGACTCTTCATACCTGTTTAATACCCGGTAAATGTTTCCACGATTATTCAATGCATCCACATTGTTCGGCTCTAATTCTAATAACTTGCTTAAATCTGCTAATGATTCTTCATATCTACCCATTTCTTGGTAAGTCAATCCACGAATATTCCATGCATCCACGGAATTTGGTTCGATTTCTAATGCTTTATTTAAATCAACAAGTGATTCTTCATATTTACCTAACATTCGATAAATGTTCCCACGATTATTCAATACATCGACATTGTTTGGTTCTAGCTCTAATGACCTACTTAAGTCTGTTAGTGATTCTTCGTACCTATCCATCACACGATAAGTTACTCCACGACTATTTAATGCATTTGCATCATTTGGTTCGATTTCTAATACTTTATTCAAATCTGCAAGTGAATTTTCATATCTTCCTAACATTCGATAAATGTCCCCACGATTATTCAATGCAATCACATCGTTCGGTTCTATTTCCAATAACCTTATTAAATCTGCTAATGATTCTTCATATCTACCCATTTTTTGATAAGTTAATCCACGATTATTTAATGCCTCTACACAATTTGGATCGATCTCTAATGCCTTATTTAAATCTGCAAGTGATTCTTCATATCTATTTAACATTCGATAAATGTCTCCACAATTAGTCAATGCACTCACATTGTTCGGTTTTATTTCCAATGATTTATTTAAATATATAATTGCATCTTCATATTTACCCATACCTTCATATGATAATCCGCGGATAAGTAATGTGGTTGCATTATTTGGTTCTATTTCTAATGACTTGTTTAAATCTGCAAATAACTCTTCATGTCGGCCTAATTTTAGATAAACGCCTGCACGATCATTCAATAATGATGAATCATTTGGTTTAATCTCTAGTAATTGATTTAAATCTCCTAATGACTCTTCATATCGACCCATCTTAAAGTAAATTCGTGCACGATATCTCAATGAAACTGTGTCTTCTGGATTTATATCCAATGATTTATCTAAATCTGCAAGTGATTCCTCATGCCCACCTGGCTGAAAATATGGTGATCTCTTTCTCAATGACAATAGCATTATTTTATTATAAAAAGTTTCCTTTTTAAAAAATGTCAGATGGATAAAAAAAAAATCAAAGAAATCTTACGATGCTGAATAAAGAGGAAAATTTGAGAAATTATTTATCGATAGTTATAAATATGTACTTAAATATTCATGGAACATTCTTGATTGTGTAATCTGTGGCCACTGTGTTACGGTCTCCGAAAAGTTAAACTAGTACTAAAAAAAAATGAATCGAATTTAGTCGCAGAATAAAGTATAAAAGAGACATGGGAAAGAAGAATGGGCGGATGTGCAATGTTGATATAATTAAGGGGGCAAATAGCAAAAACTACTGTTCACTGAAATTAGAAAAGGAGCGGAATTTTAATATCAATTTCTTTTTTTTTTTTAGAATTGTAAAATCATTTTTTTGCTCCTTAAACTAGAGGCCTCATGGCTGTTATTGGATTGATCCGATATTTAATTTCGTATTGGACTTGGACTGGTTCAAATTCATTGGTCTAATCTAATCAAATTGGTCCAGTCAACATAATTCATTTAGTTTATTTGGCAATAGATGTTATATAATTACCTCAAATTAGTGAAATAGTAATAAAATTTAATAACACTAAATCGCACCAGTGGAATTCAACACCATATATATACAGCGTTGGAAATCTAGTTTGAAATTTATGTTCTTATGAGAACACAATTATTTAATTTAATGTTTTCAAAAATAATTTTTTGTTCTCAATAACAAAAATTTCTGTTATTATTTTTTAAAAAATTTCAGATAATATCAATAATTTATTCAAATTTTTGTTTCAAACTTGCTTGTCTTTTATGTTCATTTATTTTCTTTTCAGAATTTTCAGACTTTACTCATTTCCTAATTGTTAACTTTTTTCAGTACTATACTATACAGAGAATATATTTATCAAGCAATATGTTCTCAAATACAAAGGTATGTTCTCTTGAAAACATGAGAACATCAGATTTCCAACACTACATATATATGTTTTTAATAGCTTTGCTACTAAGATTTAGATTGAAACCTAAAGGTATAGCTTAAATTTTAATTAGAGTGAGGTTGTGATGCGTTTAAAATTTTTTACTTATTACATCCAGCATTGATTATTTAGCTAGTTTTTGGGATATAACAACAGTGTTAAACACCACTGATGTGATTTAGTAAATTCGTAAAATTTATTTAAATAATTTCTATTAATCTGAGATTGAAAAAATAAAATAATATAAATAGTAGTTAAATTATCAGTATAAAAAATATCATTATTCAATTAGATTTCAATGCCATATGTAATGCAAAAAGTGAAAAAGAACCAAAACAACAAAAACTGCTTTCAGCTTTAAATTTTAGTTATAAAAATATCTTATGCATACTAACAAAGAGTTTTTCTCATAACAAAATTTGCTATAAGTTTTCTAATCCTAACTTGTAGTAAAATCCTAATTCTAACTAATCAGTCAATTGATGTAAAATTGTTTATTTAAGTCGGTCCAAAGAAGTTAAAAAATAACTCCCCCCTCCCAAAAATTTAAAAAACTGAAATTTAAATCTGTTTTGGAACACTAATAAAAAAAGTTAGAAAGGCAATTTGGATTCTAACCCTAATCCCAATTTTAATAAAACTTCAAAATTATGTAGTTAGCCATCCTCTATCTTTGGTATATATACAGTAATATAACTTGTTACACGAAGCATACGAGAAAAAATTTTCATAATAGGCCAAATAATTATCACACCTAAATTTTATATACTTTTAGTATTGTTTAATAAAAAGAAGTTATTGATTTAATTTTAGGATAAAAGTTTGCTTATTCTCTAGCATTAGAAGGTTCTTTTGTAAAATTTTAAAAGCAGTTAAAATGAAGATTAAACTTGACTATAATATTCATCAATTTTCTACAATTTACATTGTTTATTAGTTACACACTTTATTTGACCAAAATAATTCATGTAGAACATTAATTGTTTTGATCAAATGATGTGCCTTACTAGTAAACAATGTAAATTGTAAGAACTTGGCGAACTTCGTAATCGAGAAACAAACTTTTACTCCAAGAATTTCACGATAATTTCTTGATGCCAGAAAATAAGCAAAATTTTGCTCCAAAATTAATCAACAATTCCTTTTCACTAAACAGGGTCGGAAAACATATTTGACACAAATCTACATATGAAAATTTAAACGAGTCGATCATTTGACCATATTACAAAAATTTGCATTTAACAAATCGTGTGATTTGTAGGTATTGGTACGTATTAATTAACCACGCAAACGAACGCATCTCATGACATTGGATTCGGTCGATCTTTGCATCGTTCGATTAGTCCAAGTAAGACGAATAAAAATCATTCGATTCTGTAGTAATAAGCGTTTTACGTAACTAACCACATGTTAAATTTTAGTGATTAAATACAGTAACGTTTCACAACATTTAATACGAATGATATATATGGTTATGAGAAAATTGTTTTTATACGTACAGAATTTTTTAATCCTTTTTTTTAAAAAAAATGATAGCATTACCGAACGAATCCCTTTTTGAAATATTTGATAACCTTCGAACTAATTATGGAAGCTTATTTTCATGCCTTCTTGTAAACCGTCAATGGTGTAGAATTATTGTGCCAATATTATGGAGCGAACCATCGGGTCATTTCGATGATGTAAGACTCCTAAAAATATGTCTTTCAAGATTAAATGCTGAAGAACAAGAATTATTAAAACCTTTTAAACTTATCCTTCCAAATTATTCTAAACCATTATTTGAATATACAAGTTATACCACAGCAGTTAACACTAGTTATTTAGGTATTGGAATCAAAAATTGGCTTCGTGGAGCGGATAAACCATGTCATTTAAATTATCTCAGAGATAAAAAGCTTGTGGATGCGATTAAATGTTCTTATATTGCAATGTTTATACGAACAAGTGAGAAACTTAAATATTTAGAATTTCGAGGAATAATTTATAATAAAATATTGCTTGAAAATCTTTATGAAAATACCACAGTTACCACTTTAAATCTTAATAATAATCATTTTAATTCTGAGGGGAGAAAAATATTAGCAGAGGTTCTTTGTAGAAATACCGCTTTAAAATCTTTAAATCTTTGTAAGAATCCATTTGATCTTGAAGAAGGAAAAACATTTGCAAAAGCACTTTGCAAAAACTTTACTCTAACTTCTTTAGATCTTCGATGTAGTCCTCTTAAATTTGAAGGTGTAAAAGCATTAGCAGAGGCGCTTTGTAAGAACACTAATCTGACATTTTTGAACCTTGAAGATAATCAACTTGGATCTGAGGGAGGAAATGCATTAGCAATTGCACTTTGTAACAATAATACATTAACATCTTTAAATCTTTATGATAATCAACTTGGTTCAGAAGGAGGAAAAGCGTTAGCAAAGGCACTTGTTATAAATACATCATTGGCTTTTTTAAATCTTAGAAATAATCAACTTGGTTCCGGAGGAGAGAAAGCGCTAGCAGAAGCACTTTGCAGGAACACTGCACTAATTTCATTAGATCTTGGATACAATCGAATTGGATCTGATGGAGGAAAAATGTTAGCAAAGGCACTTTGCATAAATGAAACTTTAACATCTTTAAATCTACAGGGTAACGAACTTGGATCAGAAGGAACAAAAGCATTATCAAGAACGCTTTGTATAAATACAACTTTGTCGTTTTTAAGTCTTGGACAAAATCAGATTGGAAGTGAGGGAGAGAAAGCGTTAGCAGAAGCACTCTGCAAAAACACTACATTGACATCATTAGACCTTTATAGTAATCAAATTGGAGTTGAAGGTGGGAAAGCGTTAGCAAAAGCACTTTGTAAAAACACAAGTTTAACGTATTTAAATCTTTGTAGTAATTTGATTGGTTCAGAGGGTGGAAAAGCATTAGCAGAGGCACTTTGTAAGAACAATACATTAAAATCGTTAGATCTTTATAATAACAAACTTGGATCTCAGGGAGTGAAAATGCTAGCAGAAGCACTTTGTAAAAATATTGCTTTAACTTCTTTAAATCTTGGACTTAATAAGGTTGATTCAGAAGCAGGTAAAGTATTGGCAGAGGTTCTTTATATAAACACTGCTATGCGTTATCTAGATATTTCTAATAATCGACTTGGTTCTGAAGCAGGAATAGCATTAGCAAATGCACTTTGTGTAAACAGTACTTTAACATATTTAAGTCTTGATTATAATCAACTTGGTTTTGAAGGAGGAAAAGCATTAGCAGAGGCGCTCTGCAAAAATAATACCTTGACCACCTTAAATTTTGCGTATAATCAAATTAATTATGGAGACAAAAATATATTAAAAGAAATCCTTTGCATGAATACTAGTTTAACCTCCTTGGATTATTAAAAGAAAGTGGTATAAAATAAATACCATTTCTTTCTTGAATTGATATAGTTTATATTAATAAATACACGGTATGTAATTGAGCGAAACTGAGGTTTGGTTAACCGTCAATAGCATGCTGTTAATAATAAATTTAACACTAAATATGTATAGTTTTAAAATATGTAAATAAAAAAATAGCATATCCTGAATTTTTTTAAGCATAGCATATTCTAAAATTCGACTACATAAAAAGATAATTTTACGGACATGTGATCATATGCTATATGTATTAATATTATTAAACTAT